GTAATTCCCTATTTATTATTCCCTTCTTTTTTAGGTATGGCTACGGGTGGCGCACGTCGTGTAGAGGCCTCCTCGAGCTCCAAGATGCGCATAAAGGCTTTCCCCACTTCAATGGACGAGCGCCATATTAATCAGACATGGGAGCAGCTAAAGCGAGCCATGCTGGAGATACAAAAGAAAAATAACAGTGGCCTTAGTTTTGAGGAGCTCTACCGCAACGCGTATACTCTCGTTCTGCAGAAGAAGGGTGATTTACTTTACAATGGCACTGAACGGGTTGTCAAGGAGCACATGCTACGGATACGTGAAGCGGTCATAGAGCACTTGAATAATCAGTTTCTTTCATTTCTTAATACCTCCTGGAAGGATCACCAAACAGCGATGACCATGATACGTGATATTCTAATGTACATGGATCGCATCTATGTCCCTCGCGAGAGACTGGACAATGTGTATAAGATGGGGATGACCTTATTTTGTCAGTATGTGCTACGTTACCCAGTTATCTGCGAGAATCTTCAAAAGACCCTGCTAGACATGGTGAAGCGAGAGCGCCTGGGAGATGCCATCTCGCGACCGCAAATTCGCGATGCATGCCAAATGTTTGTTCAGCTTGGTGTGGGTTCTCTAGCTGTCTACGAGGAGGACTTTGAACGGGCTTTTCTGCTCCAAACGAGAGAGTTCTATCGGGCCGAAAGTGAGGCTTTTCTAGCCGAGAATACCTCCGCAACGATGTATGTTCAGAAGGTTGAGCAGCGAATTGAGGAGGAGATGAAGCGTGCCTACCAGTATCTCGACTCCTCCACTGAGCCCAAGGTCGTGGCTGTACTGGAAGAAGAACTCATAAGCCGACACTTGCAGACCATTGTGAACATGGAGAATTCTGGTCTAGTTTTCCTACTGACGCACGATCGTTTTGACGAGATTGCAAATATGTATAATGTTTTGTCGCGTGTCCCAGAGGGACCTAAAGCAATGAGTCAGTGTATTAGCACCTTCCTACGTGAGCGTGGCCAGAATATTGTGCGCGAGAGTGGAAGTAGCAATCCACAACAGTACATCCAGGATCTCCTCCAATTGCGAGACCGCTGTAATGTTCTGCTTACCGCTTTGGGCAACAAACAAATCTTCCGGAACCAAATAAATGCTGATTTTGAGTACTTTATCAACCTGAACCCCAAGTCTACGGAGTTCTTGTCGCTATTCATTGACGAGAAGCTCAGGAGGGGTACCAAGGGTATGGCTGATCAGGATGTGGATGCCGTTTTTGACAAATGCACCGTCCTCTTCCGTTACCTTCAAGAGAAGGACATCTTTGAGCGTTACTACAAACAACACTTGGCCAAACGATTGCTGCTTAGCAAGAGCCAGTCAGATGACCAGGAGAAGAGCATGATCTCGAAACTGATGGCTGAATGCGGTGGAGTGTTTACCAGTAAACTGGAAGGGATGTTCAAGGACATGGCTGTCTCAAAGACTTTGATGGAAGAGTTTCTGCAGTCCACTCCTGTTACTCCTAGCTTGGATCTGTATGTTCGCGTTCTAACGACTGGTCTCTGGCCAACACAATCGGTTAGCCCGCGTGTTTCTTTGCCCGAGGAGGCTATGGCAGCTTTCAATGTTTACTCGGCGTGAGTTCGAACATCTTTGTATCCTTTTTTATATTTCGTTTATCGCCAGTAACTCATTTTTATTCAGTGCGTTTTAAATCATTTAGATCTCATCGATAAAATCCCCCTCACCCCCGCCCAGATGACGGATAACCCCCCAAACCACTTCTGCTTGTTTTTCTACCTACGCGCTACCTTTGAAGTTCACATGTGGATAATAATCGAAAAGCTTATTTGAAGCTGGCTTTCGAACCATGCAAGGATAAGGCTTTCAGACGCGATTATGCGCCTATCTGCCTTGTCATTGCCGTTGGCTATGTTCATTTTGCTCCATGGGTCGCGAACCACAGCCCTCCGATCGTTTAATCCCCCTGTTCAATTTTGGCCTTCCAGAGTGCGCTCGTGTTGAGCTACTGGTCAAGCGATTGACTTCTGATAGAGGAGAATATGCA